GCACCAACTTTCGACACAGCTGTCTTCGGGCGGCAACGGGTTCAACGGGTAGGTTTGCCCAAATTGATCATGTAGCTGTCGTTTACCGTTGGCGTGTCAGGGTACAGAATTGCAGAGCTTACTGCTCTACCTTCGTTGATTCTAATCACGCACTAGTTCCGAGGGTGTTTCACGCTTTGCCTCATCGGTCGTTGTCAAAAATCAATTAGGATTGTGAATCTCTCGCTACGCTTCTCGGGATAACCCTCGGAGGACGTAACTCCCATCCAACACTACTACTGAACTTATGAGCCTCACCAAGCCCTCATCAAATGCCTGATGCATTTACAATCAAGATCATTGTTAGGGGGAGAGCTGTTTCCCCCTAATGCAAGTTTCCGTACAGTTTTGGGATTTTATATCAGTTTTTTAATTCCTAATTGTCCAACACCAACGCTTGCTCGCTTTGCGCGACGCTACCGTTAATCCATCCCTTGTGATGTTTTGCACTACAAGGTGCTTACCTCAATATGTATTCTCCAGACTAACATTCATGTTGGGTTTGTAGTCCTAGTCATACCGATAATTTTGAGTAAACTACATGCACTCTTAAACAGTTCAATTTCTTCATGCTTAGGATATGCTTTCGGAGATAGACAATTAGAATGTTTAGGGGTTGCTAATTCGATTATTCATGAAACAGCGTCATTTTTTTCCGTTTGGTTCATAGCAGTCCCATCACAGATGAGCAGAAGGTTCATAAATAATAAGCTCGGGTTATTTAGTTTCGATTGCTTTCATGGAGGCACTCTGTGTTCATTGATTGGAACTTTCGAGTAAATAATCAGTTAAGCCTGGGTTCCAATATCAGTGGGTTCGCTGATTCCCTAATAACTGTACACAAAAGCAATGCAATAGTTGTTGCGGATTGACACAAACTGCTAGGCAACCACACTACGTGGCTTAACACGAAATCAGCCCTTTTGGATTATAAACCAGTTGATTGGAAAAGTCTCTTATATTTATGCTCCCTCAACAAGAAATAATTAACCTATTCGTTGATTAACAGAATCAAAATGCTTCAATTCCCCCAACAAATCCTGTCACATTGGGCTTAGACCTGATATACCCAAATTAGGTAGTTGAAAAATGCAATTGCTCGTCATAGAACTCATGAGGTTTGCTTTTCCATCCCCTTTTATGCATCACAATCTGTTATGGCATACAATCACTCCTTCAAATCCGGTCGTGTTCACGCTCGATAGATGTATGTTTTAAAAGTTTCCAAAGTACAAAGACAAACCGATTCGAAGAACCGGGAGGCACTGTACGATTGTTTCGAACATGTTAAGTCTCAACAGTGCTTGTTCATCCACAGCCCCCCTAATGACAAAATAGTGACACCATTCACTCATTCGACCAGGTCCGCTTCGCTCCGTTTACGATTAATACCCCGAGACTTCTGCCACAAATCATCTACTATTTGATTGCAGACATACGGTATTCGTTTGTCACTCTCGTTGATTGTCGTTGGTTTTTTTCCTATTTTAGGCCAGTTGAAGTTAAACAGAATATTTTGGGCAAATCGCTTTTCTTTTGTCCCGGTCTCAATGCCACACGTATCCCCTTGGAACCTCCAGTAATTTCCGTTCATATGTCCAGGTCTTTGAGTGCCGTTTCCTCTTGATCCAGAGGGTCTCTCATAAAATCCGAATTTTCGCGCCGGGAAAACCTCACTTCACACCACCGGCCATGGTTGATCCTAATTGTTCTATTTCCTCAGAACTCTGTACTTTCGAGCTAATATTCAAGGTCACTACTGGCCGGTCCCGAAACTGTCACTAAACAGATAAGCTGTCCACGGCCATCATCTCTTGGGTTGTGTCGAATATACAACCTCACCTGAAGGCCTGTCTTTCGTCGTCTCTCTGGTTAGGTTCCGGGATCGTACTACTCTCGTGAGGCGTTATTCCGGCTCCACTGGGAATGGCGCTGGGTACCGCAGTCGGACGTATTTGTGTTGTGTTCACTCGGTCACTGGGTTGTTGCGGTTTCTACCCATGGTTTGTCCTATTCCACGTTTTGTTTGGCTCACAATCCAAGCTGGTCCAGTCGTGTCGTTATCCGACCGTATCCCAGCAATAGTGGTTCTGTCTACTCTCTTCCATGTCTCAGCAAAACATTCCGACCGCGCCAACCCCAATGTGCTTATATTTTCCCGTCGTCGTGCATGCCCAAGATCTGTGTTTTCGATTAATCTAGTCGTAATTCGGAAAGAAGGAGGATTTGTTTGTATGTCTGAACGGCCCCAGAGAACACATTTCGAACAAAACACATATTAGTAACCAAGCTCAATAAATCTCAATCATATCATTATATTGCAATACGGAAAACGGTATTCTCCGGGAAATTGCTTTTCGATAAACCGCATCAGGTGGTTACATGTTTTAGACGACCATAGTATAGGTATTTCCGCGAACACCGTTTTCTACATTGTCTACGGGAATATTCTACGAACATCACAATACTACCACTAATCAAAGGGTAAATTGTTTTTAGAAGTGGGAAATTCACATCATCGACTACTAGTCTTGTGTGCTACTACTCATATTTGTGACTTGTATGGTTGGGGTGCGCAAAAGTAATGCGATTGGTGGTTTCTTGGACCGTTCCATTAATTATCCTGTCTGCGTGTGGAAATTCTGAAGACTATTTTAAATGAGACATTTTGTTGTAGTATGCCAGTTTACCGATACACTTACTGTTATTCGTAATAAATTACTCTCCTCGTCCTGGCACTAATTTGCGGATTTCTAACACTAGGATTGATTTCGTGTCCTGACCAAAGCGAGATTCACAAGGATCACACATTTGTATATATTTATGTTTTCACACACGTCCGAATCCAAACTGTGGGCCAAACAAATCATGGTACAATAATGTTTATGAAAGAGAAAAAAACGTACCATGATTTGTATGTGAGTGGAATACTGCGAAGTTGCCCAGGCCAAGGCAGTTGAATTATCTTGAGGAATTCACAACCGGAGCCTTTGGCTAGCCAAAACCTGACCCGTAAGGCAGCCGGGCGGTATGTGAAAACCGCAATCCATTGGGGACCCCTGTCCAGTTCATCGGATCATACGCCCTTTGGACAGGGTCAAACGTCCAAGGTGCTCAANCAATTGAGCCGGTGATCACTGCGACAATCGGAAGGGTGTGTGGTTCGTACGCCTTTTCTTGGTTGGCATGGAATCGGGGCTTTTGGCCAACCCCCCTGGGTGAACTGCCAGGGGGTCACTAACCCGGTTATAGCTCCGGATATTGGCTATTCGTGCTCTCATTTTGGCGGGAAGAAACCTCCGCCACGTGAAGACAGTGAGTAGGGTTTCGTCAGCAAAGACCGTTTGAGACGCATGGTTGTACCGGAGCATTTCGCGAGATGTAACGAAAGGTTGACCAGTCGCAACCTTAGATACCCACCCCGAGGCTCAGTTGTTTGTTCATTCGTCTGATTATTGAGATTACTCGTTTGTGGGGAGTTGATTAGAGGAGCTGGAAAGCCTGTATAAATTACATAAGGGGTTGTGCGGACGGATTCCCCCCCCCTTTTGTTGTGGCAAGCGTCCGACAACGAACCTATCTGTCGACTACGAGCTCTTTACTGTGCGCCGAATGCCTCGGTCACGATCACAGTGTGATTTGTCTCAGCTAGGTGTGAAACCACTGCTCTGGTGAGTGACTTCATCGTTCCGATGTTCGGTCACATAGGGTGATGTTTATGAATCCGTTCGGACAATCATCTCAAGATGAAATCAATCCTAATGGTCTATGCCGTGAACTTTCAAATGTATTGACATGTTGACGCTTCACGTTTGTGTTGTTAACACGTAACTGATCTTGAAAATTCATTTTCGTTTACCTCTTCATGAGCTTTCATATTCTTTGGACTATCAGTTCACAACTTTCGCTGCTCTAATTTCACGTTTCCTCCTCCAGGGCGCACTTATCTCACCGAAGAGGTTGTTGGCAAGCCTCGAATTTATCTTGTCTCAACCGGATTTACTGCACACTCCAGGTGTTGGTACAATCACGGCTATGTCACGTGACGATGCTTATGTGGCTCGTCAACGTCTGGTTCGTTTGGGCAATGCGGCCAATCTGAAACTGATCGATTCCGCATTCATCTTGCTCGTTCTAGATGACACCGATATTTCCGATCCATCCAGCTTGGTAAGTATCATTCATGCGTATTGCTTCCCCCTTCGTCTGTTCACCGAACTGGGCAGTTTATTTGCAAACATGTGACGAAAACTTTGCTATTCAGTGATAAACTCCAACATACATGATAAGGGTCACATGCTGCTAGAGGAAGTCTATTCGTATCATCTCGTGGATTGCAAACGTATAAATACGAAAGCAGATTATCTCGAGAGGGTGTGTAGTTTGTGGCTCACCAAAGAAAATCAGGTCTGGGGTGAGCTTAGGAGGCAGCGTCAAGCGATTTTTGGTCGTCCAGGTAGGCGATTTATAAGGCCTCCAATATCCGTGAATGTTCGGGATTGCAACTTCGCATTGTCGATCGCCTAACTTAAGTGACAAACGCTCGACACCGTCTCTCAATATATCTTGACTTTAACCAATAACTTGTGATTCCTTTGTTTAGTTATTGAACGTTTGAGGTCAATGAGGACGTAGGAGCAGATTTTCTCTCGTACCACGTATCTTTCATCATATCTGTTCATACGGTTATTCACTGATCGAGGTAGCATATTGAGTACTTGTAAGGTGTTATAGGGTATGTTTACTCTCTTCTCTCTTGTATCTATCTATGTCCGTTGTACATTCTTTTGACTTTAAGAAAGTTCCAGGTCATCACAGTTTTCCATATTCTTTTTCTGATCAAAACACGTGGTGGGGGCAAGCATTTTCACGAATTCATTTTCAAGTCATTGGAATAGTATTTGTTTACCAATAGCGGTCCTCGTTCGATCACTCGGTTGGTTGATCGGTCAGTGGTCGTACAATCACCGCCTATCCATCGGGGCCTTATGTGGTTCGCCACTGTAAGTTCCAAGGCTATAGGTTGCCGGTTAGTCTCTCATCTCCACATGAATACTAAAACAAATAGGAACAATTATCAAGCGCACTCTCACTGGACAATCACACTCACTAACATTCGCGGCTTGAACCATACTATGGATTCTGTACATCAATTTCTTCCCCTCTTGCTCTATTTTTATCCGAAACACACCTTTCCGCTTCTACAGACAGCCACGCATCTTCAGCTACCCAATTATTCACATCACACTTCGTTCATTCCTAAAGCTGGTGTTTGTGCTTTCATCCATCATTCAATTGTTTTTACCCCGTTCTCCCACTTAACTCTCATCAACCGCGAGTTTCAGACTCTGTGGCTGGAACTTCAATTCCCTTCTTCCAATCACTACTTCTGTACGGTGTACCGTTCCCCAAATAGTAGTGACCCTTCACTCTTTGATGTTTTATCGGCAAACATAGATAGCATTGTTGAAACAGACCCCAACGCTCAGTTCACTATTTTGGGTGATTTGAATGTTCATAAAAGGGATTGGCTGTTACGCTCTTTAGGGACATCGCCCCTTGGAGGTGAAGCGGAATCATTTGCCCTATTGAACAGCCTCCACCAACTGATTGATTTTCCGACCCGTATCTCTGACCATGCTGGCGACCACGCTCATACCCTCGATCTTATCCTCACATCCAACCTACATTTATCTTCACTTGTTTCTGCAATTCTTCTCCTAGGCTCATCGGACTGTCTTATTTCACTCTGTACCAAAATTATTTGTTCTTATGTTCCTTCCAATTCTAGACGCACATTCTGGCGATATGGTTCCGCTGATGGGTGCAGCTTTCGTACCTTTCTGGCTTCCTACCCCTGGAATGAATGTTGCTTTTCCACCGATGTCTTCATCTCCGCTTCGAATCTATCCAAAGTTCTTTTTATAAGGCATGCACCTATTTATTCCTCATTTCACTGAACCCGGCAAGCCTCTTTCTCCAGAATGGTTGAAACACGCCTATTGTCTCGCTGTTCGTAAAAATAATCAGCGTTCCGCCGCTGGCATCGGTCACCTTCCCCCAGCTCCCGTCGATGGTTCTTGTCAGCACGTAACAAATATACAATCATCATGCAGAAGGCGAAAGAGCACTTTGTTGAGCGCAAAGCAACACAATTGATGACCACTCCTCCCGGACAGTAAGCTACCTCAAGGACCGCAGCATCTCCGTCAGAGTACATGGGACCATGTCTCGTTCCGTGCCTGTGAATGCTGGTGTTCCCCAAGGTTCTGTACTTTCCCCTTCCTTTTTCGGATGTTTGTTGATGACCTTTCTTCAACTTCAAATCCTATTCACGCCTTTGCCGATGACGCTACTCTACACTCTTCTCTGTCCT